GTGTCAGACAGCGCGCCCTGGGCACGGACACCGCGCCCTGGGCACGGACAGCGCGTGCGGCCGCGGGGCGCGCAGCCACCACCCGCACTGCCCACGGCTCCGAACCACCTACCGGCGCGAGCCGCTCTTCGGAGAAAATCATTTTCTTCCTGCTTGGCTCGCGCGGATAAGAGGCTTGACTAGTTCTCCGAATGCCTGTGGGAACATAGGAAGAAGTGCTATTGCTTTTTACGTTTTATCTTCAGTATTCTGTTGTCTAACGGTGTAATATTTGATACGCACCCAAAGTTTTAATGCCCGTGTGCCTCTATGAGAAAACAAAGGTAAGGAGAGGGACCATTTTGGCAGTAAGCCTTTTGAAGAGAAAACCACAACCAAATTCAGCACAGGAAAGACCCAAGGACAGGAAAATAACATCTAAATGTTTGACTGAGAAGGAAGGGATAGGCTTTTATGGAGAGGAAAGCAGACAAGCTTTGACTGCTATCTTTAAGCAGGAGAGAGCACAACCAAGGCTGACCTCAAAGCACGTGAGCCTTGGTGATGCCGGGGAGCGGGCTGTTCACCACCGCAGCATGGCAGAGAAAACGCAGAGCGCTGCTGCGGAGCAGGGAAGCCAGGTCTGGCCAAGCCGAACGCAAAGGGCCGCTCAGTCTGCCAAGATTAAAGATGTGAGGACCTCTAAAGGATCCATGATTAAATGGAGGGCAGAATGGACTAGCCCGGATCAACGCAACTGAAAGCTGTCAGAAATGTGACATATAAACCCTCATGCGTAGCTGAACCTCCAAAGGGCAGGATTCCTTGCCAGTCTGCTCCTTTTATTTTCTTTCTTTGCTGGAGGGGGGTGAAGAATTTGTGCTGAATTGCTGTTCAGAGGGTTTTACTCATCTTAATCATTGACAATGAACTGAGCAAACTCATTGGATGAGTAATAGGTTTTCTTAATTTTAACTATAAAAATGATAGCTGAATAAAGCAACCAATTAAAACGGGTTGCTTTATTAAATTCTTCTGAAAGAGTCTAGTCATCACGATTCACAGTTCCTCTGCATTATAAATTCCGTAGGGAGAAGCTGGAGACAATCGAGTCACCGGAAATGACACGCTCCGAAGTCTTGCCAAGGAAGCAGACAGGGATCTGCCAGCAGGAGGAGGCTGCACAGCTCCAGGCAGCTTCGCACTTCAGGGGAATTGGAAGAAATATGTTGATAGATATGGCTGTTCTTTCAGTAACAACAGTAAGACCTTGATGATGCCTCTGTTACAGTCTTGGTGAAAAAATGAAATAGTTTCCAAAGCCCATTAAATAGCCACAATACCCATCGCTGTCTGAACAGGCTTTTGTTTTCTTTAACACTGATATTTTATACTGCATTTCTAGAGAAAAACAGCTAGCATTGCCAAACAAACTCAGAAAACTATGATGCTGACTTCAAGATTTTAATTTCAAAAATGTTTCTGGTGTATTTTATTTGCTGTTTGGTTTTTGAACTTTCAGGGTACCCTTGGGTCAACGTCAAGCATACACTTAGGAATTTATTTTTTGAATTGATAGCCTCATAGGACTATTGGTTCCCAGAAACTGTGCTGTAAGCACAGGAGCAAATATCATGGTAGTAGCCTTTGCCTTTATGTACTATTTATCAGCTCCGTTAGGAGAGAGCTCTTCCTCTGCCTCATACAGCCATGCGGGGTAGACCCTATCGTTGCCCTTGCACAAGTTCCTTTTTTTCAAGTGACCAGCAATTTATCATTTTGAGACTCATCTTGACTGTTGAAGTCAGCTGAGAAATAACCTCACCTCACCCAGTCCCCCTCACACAGCCGGCCTTACTGGAACCGGCAGGGATCTATAGCTGTAAGGCCTTGTAATGCTGGAGCAACTGAATAGTCCTGGAAAGGACTGATAAAAACATTAAGTGACTTAATCAGTTTTCACTACTCTCAAGAGTAAGAATAAAATGATGACATGAGATCTTCCACTATCCTATATCCTGTCACGAACAAATTTTGGATGAACTTGAGGATTTAGCATATATCTCTTGCCATATTTTGCTGACTTGGTCTTATGACATGTAGGATATTAATGGCACGCTTGTGCAAGCAATCAAATCAAAGGTTTATAACCATGCTATTGTTTAACAAGGTTAGTTTTATGTTCTGAGGTCACTTCCAGATAAGGAGTTTGTTCATCTCTTAGCCTAACCGGACAGTGTGTCAAACTGAAGCAGAAATAGGTGCTGCACTTGGAGGAGACGTGGATCGTCCTCGGCAGCTCACTGCTGCTGCGCTGCCCTGGCCACACTGCAGGCTGGGGGGTCCCCTCGCCAGCTGAGACCGCAGCAGCTCTGGCTGCAGCACTGCTGAGTTGTGCCAGTTCTCAGAGGGTGCTGCAGGCTGCCCGGCCGCAGGAGGCAGGGCAGGAGCCTCTGCTACTGCACTGTGAGCTGGGCTATGGCCACACAGGACGGAGGAGGATGCAGCCCCACCTGGCTTCCTGCAGTCTGTCCCTCTTCCCTGGCCAAGCGAGCCTCCACGCAGGACAGGATGGGACCCGGGGCGTCTCGTTATTCTGCACCAGATTTTGAATATATACAGAAAAACTTCTGCAAAACCAAGAGCCGTAGGAATGTTTCTATGGAACTGGAGCAATCTAGCATTGAACTTCTGTTTAAAATGTCTTTTGATGGTCAGCCTTGAAGCTTTTCTAAGGCAGTTTGAAAGAACTTAGCTTGATTCCAGAGCAATTCATAGATTTGCCAGTAATTAACTCCAGTAGCAGTTCCACTCTTGAGAAAGTGGCCACCACTAAAGCGGCCTAAATCCAGGTTTTGTCTCTGTTAAAAAAGGAACCCTGCAGTGTTGAGATCTTGACCTGTACTGTGGCTCTCAAGAAACTACATTTTATAAAGCTGGGGCCTCACCAACGACAGGTGGAGTGTAGGGATTACCTCTTATGTCTTAAACATGATATTCCTGTTAATGTGCTTTTACAAACAGCATGCCATTATTACTTTTGGCTCAGTTTACATCCCCTGCAATGGAGCTGGCTGTTCCCCAGTATTAGAATGGTGCTTTTACGGGGTTCATCAGTGCTCACCTCCCGCTGCGGGTGTTGCACAGTCGTCTCATGCAGAACAGCACGACGAGGTTGGAGACACAATGCCGAATTCAACAGCCTGTGGCACTGCACAAAACACAGGTAAGTAATTCTCAGGCTGCGCTCTGTAGAAAAATATTTTGATTTCTACTGCTCTATTTTTAATGAAATTTCCTCATCTACAAAAGATTTAATTAGTTACTATGAAGATTAAGCTTATAGAGAGCAGAGACAGAGCAGACAACCTTTAGTTTTGGATTTATCTACCTACAGGAGACCATTATCCTGTGACAACCTTGCACTGAATCTCTTTCACAACTTCCAAATATAGACAAACCAGGTCCAAGAGAAGAGGGTTTTGCAAGGAGGAAATGTGTCAGGGGGGACTAACAGACACACAGTAGAGGGGAAAAGGACAAGCGCTCCAGCTGAGAGTCCCTGCATTAGCTCTGGCAAGAAGCAGCCAGAGCGCTTGCCAACCTGCAAGTACTATTTCATCCCTATGTGCACGTGTGCATGAAAGTATGCCTATTGCGTTTAATACCTGTTGCTTTAAATTTACGTTTCTTCCTGTGAAAGCTTAGTGGAAATGCTGGCATCTGAGATCTTGTAATCACTGCATCCCACAGGCTCCAGTTCCAGGCTGAGTTGCACTGGCAAGAAAAGTACTTGAATCGGCTGCAAGATGAAATGAGATAGACATCCATCCTCTCTCCCCACAAGAATTAAAAAATACTATTCTTACACAGTCGTCTGCAATGCTTAAAGCTAAAACAGGGATATTCTATGCAGACAAGGTGCAAATTCCCCCAAGACATGTGAGCAATTAGCTATTACCAAAAGAAAGGGAAAAGAACAGTGGTGTTTTAAGCAGTGAAAGCAATGCTGAATTGTTTCTTTATATACTACTTTTGGATGCTACATGTTTGTAAACTAGGGATGAACAGCAAACTCAGAGAGACGGCTTAAACAATAAGACTTGTGAAAAAGCAAGCAATTTAAAATCAAATACTTCAGCTCCCTCTTCCAGGCGACTTCTAAAGATTACTCTGATGGGAATGAGTGTGATAGCACCGTTATTTAAAACGAAAAAAAAAAGGGGGAGGGGGAGAGGGAGCCCCCACTGCGAGTATCGCGGATGCAGCGAGGGAACGGGCCGGGCGCGGGGGCCGGGCGGGAGCCCCCAAAGCCCGAGCTCGGCCCAGGTCCTCCCCGCAGCGCCTGCGGCTCCGGGGCTCCGCGCTGCCTTCGCTCTCGCTGCTGCGGGTGCGCGGAGCTGCGCGGCGCAAGTCACACAGCGCGGAGATCCCCCGCCGCTTCTCCCCTCCCGGGAGCGCAACGCAGCAAAACCTCGGACGAGATAAATCCACCGCCATTGGAAAAGCCCATCCTGGCCTGAGCAGGGCTGCCCCGCGGGCGCCCCGAGGGGGACACAGCAGGGGCTCGCGGAGGGCGCCCACCGCGGAAAGCAGAAACCTCCCCCGAAGGGCCAGTGTTACAGTACGGTCGCAATCCTATTTATGCGCCTCAAAGCTAAAATCGCCTTAACATAAGAACAGCCTGCACTTATCTCGGGCTTTATTCACCTCCAGGTGAAATACGCTACCTTCACCATCAAGAGTGAGCCCGATCTTCAGGATCTGTTAAAAAAACAAACGAAGACAAGCCGCGAAGTCAACGGGAAAATCCGTTTTAAGCTGCTGAGCGGGAGGTCTCAGCACCGCCGCGCGCGCCGCC